TATATATATAAACTTTAAGTAATCAAATTACCGCATTGACTTTGTGTGTCTTATTTGTCCCTAAAAGACAGCCGTGTGTTACGCATGTAGCCCAGGTACCGCTTTCCATGCATCACGACACGTGCATGCTGATGCAATAGGTTCACTTTCACATGTTGTGCATGCGTGTTCGTGTCTCCTCATAAGCCGCATGCATCCAACATCCCCTCCTTTACGACGCGTTCTGTATTCTCGATGTGTGTATTGACACGGGCTCCGTGTTCATGTCAAGGGATGTGGAACGGCACCACCAAGGTTGCGGTGAAGACGCTGAAGCCGGGCACCATGTCCCCCGAGGCCTTCCTGGAGGAGGCTCAGATCATGAAGAGGCTGCGCCACGACAAGCTGGTACAGCTCTACGCCGTTGTGTCCGAGGAGCCCATCTATATAATCACCGAGTTCATGAGCCAAGGTACACGCTTGGTCTCCATGTCATGTTTGGTCAAATGGTGGAAAAGTCCAGTTGCGAGTTTGTAAAACGTGCTCAGCTTCGATATTTTCACTCTTCGCAAAAGTGAAGAACCATCACTTCCTATTTCATTCTTTCCATACAGGAAGTTTACTGGATTTCTTAAAAGACGGCGAGGGGCAAAACCTGAAGCTACCCCAGCTTGTGGACATGGCGGCACAGGTTATTTGACAAATTAACAAATAATATTCAACCCTTTCATGCACCCTGTAAGCTGATAACGTGATAATGGGGGGGGAAAGGGGGCGGATGACCAAGCAAACATGTTTTGCTTCCTTTTCCCTTCATATGTTTTTTTTTTCCCTACTTCCTGTCTGTTTATCCCATTCCCTGCCCCGGCTCAGAGCGAGCGGCGGGGCTCTGCTGCCGCCTGATCGGCAGCTGCAAGCGCGGCATGCCCAAGCTGGCCGACTTATCGGTGAAGACCAAGGACATGTGGGAGATTCCCCGCGAATCGCTGCAGCTGATTAAAAAGCTGGGCAACGGCCAGTTTGGAGAAGTGTGGATGGGTAGGCCGCAAGG